AATAGGAAATGAATGTTTTGCACATTGCTCTTCATTATCAGAAATTGATATCCCATCAACAATCAGTAAATTAGGAAATAAATGTTTTGAAGATTGTCTTTCATTAAATAAAATAAATATACCATCATCTGTTACAATCATTGGAAATAATTGTTTTAAAAATTGTATCTCATTAACTCGTATAGATATTCCATCTTCTGTTCAATTATTTGGGAATGATATTTTTGATGGTTGTACTTCTTTAATTAATACAAATTCTTTAATAACAACACAATTATTCATTGATTATTCAGATAAATGCACACGATTAACAAGTATTACTATTCCAACAACCATTAGTAGATTAGAACAAAATCATTTTTCAAAATATTTCTTATTAAAAGAAGTTACTCTACCAACATCAATTACATCATTAGGAAATAGCTGTTTCAGTGAATGTATTTCATTAAATAATATTGAATTACCATCTTCATTAATTGAAATAGGAACATATTGTTTTGAATATTGTTCATCACTAACATCAATTACTTTACCTTCATTTATTAGTAAAATAGGAAAATGGTGTTTTTTTAAATGTTCTTCATTAAAGTCAATTAATATACCAACAACAATTAAAGAAATAGATGATTGGTATTTTGGAGCATGTTCATCACTAACATCAGTCAATATCCCTTCTTCGGTTAGTAAATTAGGAAATTATTGTTTTTATGAATGTAAATCATTAACATCAATTAGTATACCATCAACTATCAAAGAATTATGGAATAATTGTTTTAATATATGTTCATCATTAACATCAATTAATATTCCATCATCAATTAGTAAAATAGGAATTGAGTGTTTATTTGAATGTACATCATTAATTGAAATTAATATAGATAATATACAATTCATTGATGATGAAAAAATATATATTAATGAACCAATATTAGTTAGTATTGAAATACCAGAAAATTTAAAACTAATCAATAAAAGAAATGCTACAAAACAAAATATTGATGAATTTATTTTTTCATCATCAATTAATGAATTAGGAGATAATTGTTTTTATAACCACCAAACATTAACATCAATTAATATACCAACATCAATTAATAAATTAGGATGTAACTGTTTTTATGGTTGTAGTTCATTAACATCAATCACTATACCAACAAGTGTAATTGAAATAGGACAGTATTGTTTTTATAAATGCAAAGCATTAACAACAATTAATATACCAATAAGTGTTAGTAAAATAAGAGATAGTTGTTTTGAGTGTTGTTCATCATTAACATCAATTAATATACCAACATCAATTAGTGAAATGGGAAATTATTGTTTTAGTTTTTGTTCATCATTAACATCAATTACTATACCAACAAGTGTTATTGAATTACCTGATGGTTGTTTCAATGATTGTACTTCTTTACTTTCAATCACTTTACAATCTTCTGTTAGTGCATTAGGAAATTATTGCTTTAACAAATGTAAATCATTAAAATCAATTAATATACAAACATCAGTTAGTAGAATAGGAGTTTCATGTTTTAATGAATGTCAATCATTGAATAATATCAAAATACCAACATCAATAACATTATTTGGGAAATCATGTTTCTTTAATTGTGGTTGCGAAGAAGAGTTAAAACGTAACACAAGTATTCCAAGAGAGTGTTTTGAGAAATAAGAATACAAATAATGAAATGATATATTAATTCTAATATATTATTCTATTTTGTTTTTTAAATAATATTTCATTTTTTTATTAAAATTTTATAAAAAATAATAAAAGAGAAGATGATATTGAAAAAATATCATCAGGAAAGAATAATTGACATATTTCAATAATCAAACATTATTATACTAACTTTTATTTTAATCATTGAATAATAAAATAACAAACTCAAATGTTTATGATAATTATTAAATTAATAATTTATTCATTTAAAAATAAAAATCAAATAAAGGATAAAGATAGTTTAATGGGTAAGAATTATAATTAATATCAAATAAAAAAATTAAATAATATTGTTCATTATTAAACAATAATAAATAATAAATAAATACAATATCCTTTTTCAACAAGAAGATAAAATTGAATAAATATAAAAATAGCAGAATAAATATACATGTTTATCAAATAAATTATTAATCATGTTATTATTTCATGTCACTTTGTTCATTCCATTATTTATATAATTATTTTGATATTATTTTAAAATAAAACATTACATAAACTAAATACAAAAAAACTATAAAATAAAACATATTCAATTAGTTTAAATCATTACTCAATTGAATTTATTTAATTATGAAATAAATAATAATTAATTTGTATTATTTATTCTTTTTGTATTATTTCTTTCATTTGTTTTAATTCATCGTTAGTATTTTTATTTCTATTTTATTTGGGTTTGAATATACATCAATTGAATTAATAATTACATT